TGCAGAGGATGGCAGAGCATAACAAAGTCTGTTTGGCAACTTTTATGAACTGCAGCCTTTGATCAAAACATTTAATTCCGTTACTATACCCAATAAAAGGCAACCATATTCAGGAAAAAAACAATGTAGTGATACCTTGGATAAAACAGAAAAAAAACAGCATTGCATAAAACTGTTGTTTATTTACCAAATATAACGCATATTATAAACGTGAGGCTTAATAAAAACTTGTACAAACACAGTATTTGAGTATTCACCCTAGGCTGTGCAGCCTGTGACCCTACACTTTTAAATACAGTATGAGTACAGTAGTGAGTGATATACAACAGTAATCTCTCCTCTATGATGGCTTCTGAGCTATCTTCTAACAACGAGTCCAGACAGAAGGCAATATGTGTGCTAAAACATCAAAATCAACAACTGTATAGTTCCAGTCTCTGCTACCAAGTCCTTCAAAGAGCCTTACTGTGTTTAACCCAAAGAACTGGGCTTTCTCACTGTTTACTTAAAGCATCTATCCAAATACGTCCATGAAGAACCTTCCAAAATTGTTATAAAATTCTTGCTATGAGGGAAGATGAGGGGAGAAGGTCTCCATCAACCATCCTATCCTGTTAATCTTCATATTATAGTACAATACTACACTATTAAAAAACAATATAACTAAAATACCTCATAAAACGTATAAAAATATTTAGGGGATTATTCACTAAAATATTTATTTTAACTCTATAATTTAGGATAGTGTCCTTCCTTTTAATACCACTTTTTCATAAGCTCTTTCCAAAAGTACTTTTTAAATGTCCTTTTCTAGTAAATTCTGTTTCAGTCTAGAGACTTGGTCTTGCCTTCTGCCTTGAGTTGTTGCTGGTAGCAGCCCAGGAGCAATCATGAATAAGTGCGTTTTCTTCTTCATAGCACCCACTAGTCTACTCATGTGGTATTTGTGAGACTTTTTATTAAGTGGGGACACCGTCTGCTTCCTATAACTTATATTCAGCCTCTGGATACTTAAACAAGTTAGTATTATGGCATGTCTTGCTGTACATCAGGTGTTGGAATTGGGAATGGAGAGGATAATTGCACATGTTCTGATCTTGTATGCAGGATTTAAAATGCTCAATTCCTACCACTTGGGAGATAAGGACTTTTTGCTCCTTTAATTCACACCCCAATTGCACATGGAGGAAGGAGAGAGTACCATTTAATAGGGCACTTTAGGTGATAGGAGATCCCTAAGACATTTGTTGTTTAGTGAATAGCTATCTTGCTATTCATGAATAGAAAACTATTTTCAAACATGACCTAAATGTAACTAATTCAGGCACTCTGTGTGATTTATACTTGGGGACCTTTGTCAATAGTGACTTGAAGATATTGATTTTAGACGGTTATGGAGATTTTGATTGTAGATGGTTAAATAAGTCTAGACAGCTCAGTAGCTCTATTTTATGCAAGTCTGTTGTAAAGACACCTTTAGTGGACAGACCCTACAATACTACATTTATCAAAAAGACATAACATGATATCATGATGCAGGTGTTGGTATATATGATCAATTACCTCATCCATATCACTTGTTTAGATGTTATAGATTTACAAACTTTAATTTATGGGGAATTCTTACAGTGATCTTATATGGTGGCAGAAAACGCATTTGCTCACCTCGTTATATCACTTTTACAGAATGTGATATACATAATTCATGGTTCATTTCATGTAATTTAGTCAGAACTGCTACTATAATTAATATAAAATTACATATGATGGATTGAAAATACTTCATAGACTTATTGTGGTTATTTTAATGCTTCATCCTATGCAACATTGATATTTTAACTCTTCAAATGCATTGCATGCATATTATTCTGCAGTTGATAGCTGGGATTCAGATCAAGTAGAATGATATTAAAGATAGACATATCCCACTTCTAGATACATTTTAACAATAGCGTTCTATTTCTACTCTTTTTTTATCGTCAAACCTGCACTATTCACCGGATGAGAGATCAGGAAGAAAGACTAGTCTTGTTTACATGACCTATAGCAAATTAGTGTTAAGATCTCTAAAGGCAATTTAATCTATAGATTTCCTGATTTAAAAAAGAATCACTTTTTGGTGACCTCAAATGGCAACGGTAGCCTCATAAAAGTTGATTGCAATGATATTACGCTAGGGAGTATGCATTCACATTTAGAGTATATGTTCACTCTTTATAACTAAGTACATACCAAGATGCTTAGTATAATTACTGGAACAATATTCTTCAGTCGGCAAAAATGTAGTGGACAAGTATTCCACCAGCTGGAAATCTGTATGTACAAAAATTAGAAAATGTCTGGGCTGTCAACAATAGGACTTTAAAATGAGGGTACTGGCCATTTCTTCTTCTTCTAAAATAAGTAACCAAGTTGTTTTGTATGTACATACCATATTCCTCTTAATTACTGGAGTAAAACCGCAGTTGTGCCCTTGACCCTTGTATATGCTTCTATTCCTAAAACAATAAAAAAAATTATTCTTGCAGTCCCTAGAGCAGGCTTAGGAAACTTCTCACACTCCAGATGTTGTGGATTAAATCTCCCATAATGCTCTTACAACCATAATGCTGGCAAAGGTTCAGGGAAGATGTAGTCCATGGATAGGCAACCTTCAGCACTCCAGATGTGGATTACATCCCCATATTGGTGGCAAAGCATCATGGGAGGTGAAGTCCAAAACATCTGGAGTTCCAAAGGTTGCCTATGCCTGATGTAGTCCATGACATCTGGAGTGCAGAAGGCTGTCTGTCCCTGCTCTAGAGGTTGAAGGAAATTTCAGACAGAAAAGACTATAGAGTACCACCATTTAATTAATTATGTCTTTGTGCAGTACATTAATACAGTTCAATGGAGAAAAACAGTTCTGTAGACAAACTTTAATCAATATAAATGCCTTATAGGAACACATGAAATTGCTATTTTAATCAATGATGTTGTGCAATGGAGAAACTTAATATTAATGGTATAAGGTATGATCATTATCTTTACATCTCTTATCATACATTTAGACTTCAGATTGTCATTAGAAACATCGCAGGTTATTATTTACCGCTAATACTTTTGTTGTTTAAAGTAACAGAAAAGCATCAGAGTGTTTCTCGACAGTTTCCATGGTTACTTCCAATGCTGTTATTTATGAGATAGTACATGATAGAAACACATCATGTTGCCCATGTATAAAATGCAAAGAAAACAAATGCACTGTAACTATGGACTCAATTATTTTATATAATGTTCCTAAAATTACATCATAAAATATATAACACATGTCAAGGGATTTGAAGTAGCTAGGTCTGAGCAAATTTGGAAAAATAGATATGCATCAGTGTTGCTGCTTCTACTTCGATTTAATAATACAATTTAGCAAGATTAAGGAAAAAACTATGTTATATTTTATGATAATTTGCTGTATTCACCGAGGAGTATTGTACGCTTTGCTTAGCAGTGGAGAAAGTGTGATATGGAGGCTACCGTGAAAATAATTGAAAAAAAAGCTTAATTTTGTTAAATATAGACTTATGGTCTGTATATAAATAGCTTTGAAACTATGTGTAAAATTATATTTTACGGTTTTATAGATATAACATGATTAACAAAAAAACAAAACAAAACAAAAACCTGTATATAATGTAATAGTATTTAAATTGCAGAATATGCAGACTGATAAATGCACATCTTTCTTAAAAACAAAGAAACAAACAAAAAAATGAACGTTTGATATCCATGTTTTGGTACGTAACCCAATATACAGCAAAATTATATAACAAAATGTCTATGTGTACTTTAGTGAAATTAAGAGTACTGCCAGCAGTTAAAAGATTTTAATTCATTTTGTATGAAAATAAATGACCTAAATAGTTTTGAAATTTTATTGTGTAAATTTGCAATTGTCTTTTTAGCTCCTTGCTTATAACAATGTTTGGTTTATGCAGTGTTATATAGATTGTATATATCAGTTGAGAACAAAATGGAACCAATTTAAGGGAGAATAAATGGGCTACCCTCGTAAGTATTTATATACAGTATAATATCATTTGCAAAGAATGTCCTTACATGAATATAATCTTAGGATAAATAATTATTTTTAGAAAATACATACTTTCAGATTCAAATTAAGAACAAGGCAAAATATATTTACTGCTGTATAAAACCACTAGTAATTTATCTCCTATACATTTAAATTGCTTTCATCTAGAAGCAGACCTATAATGAGCTTTAAGATACACTTGCAAAGAAAGGTGCTTTCAATTTATGTAAAGACGCTTCTACTTAATTTCACTGCCAATCTTTTCCAAAACACTGATCTATTTTCCTACATAAGATGCAATGAATGAAGTATGAGAATCTAATTTAGAATCTGTTTGCAAGAATTCTTAGAACTTTACTCCTTGAGAGGCAATGTTCATGTAATCAAAGCACTCAACATGATCGTTAATTTACTCTCTTTTTCTTCAAAATAAAGTGCTTATCATTTTTTTTTTAAATGATATTACAGAAAGAACCTAACCTATCCACAAGCTAACTTTGATACTGGAATCAACAGAGAAAACGTTAAAAATGATATTTGTTTCAAAGGAGAACAGTATCATTATTTTATGCTGTCATTGAAGATTGTTAAAAAACATAACAGTGTATTATTTCATATAAAATATGACAGCGCCTTAACAAAGGGAATGCTTGCTGTATGGATCAGATTTTAATCATTTAGAAATAAAATCCTGATGGATGAATATAAAATGTCTGAAATGTATTGAGATTGCCATGTTCATTTCTTGCTATGTATTTTTGTTTTGTGATCGAAGTGCCTTTGAGGAGTGTACTTTGAAAATAAAAGCTTAATAAATGAGAAAAAAACATCACAGTGACCCTAATGATTAAAATAATATAAATGTTTTAGAACGTGACTGTCAGCCTTTACAGCTGGTGAATAGACAAACATGGTATTTATCAATTTCATTGTTTATTACATTGTTTAAAAATCAAATGTGTCTAAGAATGGCTTTTCATATATTGCTGTTTCTTTATTTTGGGGGATTACTTACGTATAGCCTGTTTGTGGCAAACTGATGTAGTGGTGTAATTTGCCAGAATACCCAGAGCTGAAAAGACTCAAATTTCTGTTTTTTTGTAACTGTTATTTTGGTCTATTCTTTTGCAAATCAGTTCTTGACAGAATGAACTCACTGTTTAGTTAATGAATTCCTCATTCTTAAAACAATGTCCATCAACATTTACAAACCACCAAAACATTTGCTTAAGCATAAAGCAACGCTGTACTCACTATAACAACTCTAGATTAAGTTGTTATAGAGCCAACATTTGTTCCTTCTTCCTAAATTGCCTCAAAAATCAATAGTTTATTAATTAGAAGTCTTGGAAGTGCAGCTTCAAGCCATGTCCAAGCCTTCTGGGTGTGAGAGCTGGGACTGCATTACCTGACTCTCATACCTTAGCATACTGTGATGTCATGCATGCGTGCGCAATTCCATCAAGGTCCTCCATAGAGAATTATTGCATGAAATGATTCTCTATGGCAGAATCTCAGACACATCGCAGAGAACATAACGCATGCACCTACAATATCCATTGCTCCTCTATGATTAGCACTGAAATGTCCCATTATCCTGAAGGCACTCCTCCAGGATGACACAACGCTAGGAGGAGATCGTGGCCAGGGGGCCTGAAATATAATGTAGGGTTACGAAAACAGAAAGTAATCCAAGTGCTATAGTAGTCCTTTAATTCCATTATCGGAACCTGAACTAATTGATATTATTCTATTGAGTTTTTGCAGAAAAATGCTAAATAGAGTGCTAAAAGGAATTATTATCCAACGTAATAATAATAATTTGTGCTTCTGAAGAAAAACAATGAACTGATGTGCCTAGATTGACATATGTAAAATTTGCCATTTTATTAACACACAAAATCAGACGTATTCCATTTCTTTTCTGTCTCTCTCTCTCATTTACTGACTGAATATATTACTTAAGTAAAAATAAATACATTAAAAAATACTTTAAGGGTATTACAATAATAGAATATTGGTGAAAAAATTAAGAGCAAAATATTCTGAATGCAAAATTCTCATTTTTTTCTGAAGTAATAAGAATAGTTTATTAGAGCTTTAAGTTTTATCCATGATCAATATCTCATTAGTATGTTTATTCTTTTCAATTGAGGAGTATCATCATTAAGTGTGTTGTTGTGAAAGGAGAACAGACTGTTGATATTTTAGGCCTAAGGAGCAGAACTGAAAAACATGGCCAACTTACTAAGCTGGTGAATATCTTCTTAACTTGCTGCATTTACTATACATTTTGCAAGTCTATTTCTAACTTACAACTCACTAGTTACATAAAATTGTCTTATTTTACCAGGAATCAGGCTAGCTGGTGTAGTTTAAAAATGGTGGGATAAAAGACTTTCCCACTAGAATTTGACTCTACCAGTGATGCTGTAACCCAATGATCGCCTACTTTTAGGGCATCCAGAAAATCCTGTCCAATTCATAATCAATGGGTGACTTAAAAAGTCACATAGACTAAACATCTCAGAAGGGGTCATCTCAGAAGGGGTTGAGAGCATGGGACATATTGTTCCAAACATAACTCAAAATCCTGACAGGGTTTGTTGCCAAGCTTCTTAGCAGCAGCAATAACAATCAGTAAATAGAGTTGGAGAACACTGCAAAACTAATCATGAGATATTTGTTTTAATATATACTTATATTTAGTGCATACCATATTAATGTATTTGTTTATTGCAACACAAACTGCCCTACATGCCCCATATGATTAGTCTCCTCTGCCAGGGAGGTTATGCTACCACAGTGTCACGATTCGGGGAACCAAACACGCCAACACACACACACACACAAAGTGCCGTACCGGACCTTAGAGTGGCCGGGCTAAGCACACAAAGAATAGTCAGGAAACAAGCCGAGTAAGGGGAACCAGAAGACAGAATAACGATGAAACAAGCCGAGGTCAAAGGGTAGGAGAAAGTCACAGAGTCGGATAACAAGCCAGAGAGTACGTAACCAGAAGCACAAGTTCAGAATCAATACTAACAAGCAAAGACCACAACAGGGCAAGGAGGAACAGGAAAGGTAAGTATTTAAACCATCAGGTTAATTCTGATTGGATGATTTCCAATCAGAATTAACAATCACACGTGGGAGATATTTAGACCTCCCACTGTGATTGTGGCACTTTGCCTTTAACGCCGGGTCAGGTGACTGACCCCGGCGTGTATAAACCTGGGCGGTCTCCCAGCGTGCAGCGTCATGCATGCTGCCGCTGGGGGACGTGGAGGGAACGGCGGGCGGCATCCGAGGCTGGAAGGATGCCGCTCGCCGTACCCACGAGGCGGAGGGGACCGCGGACGGCTGGAGGGTGAGTACTGCGAGCGGAGTGCAGCCTCCCCTCGCAGCCGCCCGCGGGAGCCTGACATTACCCCCCCCTCGAAGACCACCCAGGGGGTGGGAAGCGGAAGGCTTCAAAGGAAAGCGGGCATGAAAGGAGCGGACCAAAGAGGGAGCGTGCACATCGGAGCTTGAAACCCAGGACCGCTCCTCAGGGCCGTACCCCTTCCAGTCCACCAAATATTGCAGCCGACCCCTAGAAACACGAGAGTCGAGAAGGGTAGCCACCTCGTACACGTCGTCAGAGACAGCTCGAGGGGAAACGGGCCGCCCGAGGGGACGAGAGAACCGGTTACACAGCAAGGGCTTCAAAAGCGAGACGTGAAACGTGTTCGGGACATGCATGGAAGGAGGCAAATCAAGGGAGTAGGAAACGGGATTAACCCTACGTAACACCTTGAAGGGACCAAGAAACCTGGGGGCAAATTTCATCGAGGGAACCTTGAGACGGAGGTTCCGGGAGGACAACCATACCCTATCACCCGGAACATAGGAAGGGGCCGCAACCCTACGGCGATCAGCAAACTTTTTCTGAGCAGCCGCTGAACGAGACAGCGCAACATGGACTTGATCCCACGTCTTCCGCAAAGAGGCGAGGTGCTGGTCCAAGGCGGGCATTCCCTTGTCAGAGAACGCACCGGGAAGGACAGAAGGCCGAAACCCATAAGCAACCTCAAAAGGACTTAAGCCAGTAGACGAATGAGACACCGTATTCCTGGCAAATTCAGCCCACGGAAGAAGGCGAGACCAGTCATTCTGGTGCGCATTAGTGAAGCAGCGCAAATACAATTCCACAGACTGATTAGCACGTTCGGCCGCACCATTAGATTGCGGGTGATAGGAGGAAGAAAACGACAAGGATACCCCCATCTCAGCACAAAAGCCCCTCCAGAACCGAGAGCCAAATTGAGGGCCCCTGTCAGATACGATATCCTGGGGTACCCCATGCAATCGGAACACTTCTTTGGCAAATACCTGAGCTAACTGAACCGCAGAAGGCAGTTTCTCAAGCGGAATGAAGTGCGCCATTTTAGAGAACCTATCCGTCACAGTCAGTATCACCGTCTGACCATCAGAAAGAGGCAGGTCTACAATGAAATCCATGGATAAGTGGGTCCATGGTTTCTTGGGTATAGATAGAGGCATCAGAAAACCCTGGGGTTTCACATTAAGGGACTTACACTGCGTGCAGACCTGACAAGCCTGAACAAAATCCACTACGTCTCGCTTGAGTGAAGGCCACCAGAACTGTTGAAGGAGGCCCTTGTAGGTTTTGGTAACCCCCGGATGACCAGCAGTTTTGGCTGTGTGAAATAAAGTTAACAACTTTTTTCTGTCATTAGCTTCAACGTATAGTTTACCAACCGGCGTCTCAGGGGGTGCTTGGGTTTGGTATGTCTTAATACTGGTAAGGAAAGATGAAGAAACAACCAAACGGGTAGCAGCTATTATCTGTGACTCAGGTACAATAGGTTCAGGAGTCGGGTTAACAAATTCTACTGGTTCATGCTGCCGAGAGATGGCGTCAGCCTTGGCATTACGGCAACCAGGTCTATAGGTGATAACATATTGGAAGCGCGAGAGAAATAGAGACCATCTAGCCTGCCGGGCAGATAACCTTCTAGCATCAGCAATATAGGATAGATTCTTATGATCTGTTATAACCATGATTTTGTGTCTAGAACCCTCTAATAAGTACCTCCATTCCTTGAAAGCTAACACAATAGCTAATAGTTCCCTATTCCCAACATCATAATTCTTCTCTGAATCAGACAACCTTTTAGAAAAATAACAACAGGGATGGAGGGGTTTGTCATAAGAAAACCTCTGTGACAGTACGGCTCCCACACCTGACTCTGAGGCGTCTACTTCCATAACAAAGGGAAGAGAAGGATCAGGGTGGTGCAGCACTGGAGCAGAGGCAAATGCCTTCTTGAGGGTTTCGAAGGCCTTAAGGGCTTCAGGAGTCCAAACCCTAGGATGTAGACCTTTTTTGTCAACTTCGTTATGGGAGATATGAGTGGTGAAAAGTTTTTTATAAATTTCCTATAATAGTTGGCAAATTCTATAAAACGCTGGATAGCCTTTAGTCCTTGGGGAAGTGGCCAGGACATTATAGCTTCCAATTTAGCAGGATCCATACTGAAACCCTGTTCAGTAATGATATATCCTAGGAATTGCACAGAGGTCTGATCGAATAAACATTTTTCTAACTTACAGTAGAGTCCGTTCTGCAATAGCCTTTTGAGCACCATCCTAACATGGTTATGGTGTGACTTCAAATCAGGAGAATACACAAGTATGTCGTCAAGGTATACTACAGCACAGACATGCAATAGATCCCTAAGGACATCATTTATGAGGTCCTGAAACACGGCAGGAGCATTACACAATCCAAAAGGCATGACCAGATATTCGTAATGCCCACTGCGTGTGTTGAAGGCTGTCTTCCACTCGTCATTCTCCTTTATACGGACAAGGTTATAAGCCCCCCTGAGGTCTAATTTGGTGAAAAATTTAGAACCTTTAACACGATCAAACAACTCAGTGATGAGGGGGATAGGGTAGGCGTTTTTAACCGTTATATTGTTCAGACCCCTGTAGTCTATACATGGCCTCAAATCACCCTCCTTCTTAGCCACAAAAAAGAAACCAGCACCAGCAGGAGAGGAGGACCTTCTAATAAAACCTTTTCTTAGGGATTCCTGTATGTACTCCTCCATGATTTGGTTCTCTTTTTCAGAAAGAGGGTAGACCTTTCCCCTAGGAGGCATAGTGCCCGGTAAGAGGTTTATGGCACAATCATACTCACGATGTGGAGGTAGCTTATCTGCCTCCCTCTTCTCAAAAACCAAGGCAAGATCCGCATAAACAGAGGGCACAGAAACCGAGAGTGGTTTAGCCGTGGGTACGTTAAGTAAACAGACAGGACGTACATGAGCCACACAGTCTCGCTGACAAGATTCCCCCCAGGAAAGTATGTCTAAACAACCCCAATCAAGAACAGGGTTGTGTTTAACTAACCAGGGAAAACCTAGAACGATGGAGGCTGTTGGGGAGTTAATTATTTGGAAGGTTAACTTCTCTTTGTGCAAAACACCCACAGACATAACTATTTCCTGGGTTTCATGGGTCACCAGAGGTTTCTCCAGTGGTCTACCATCTATGGCCTCAACGGCCAAGGGTGTCTCCTTTCGAATCAAATTCAGGGCTGCGGTTTTGGCAAAGGTCTCATCCATAAGGTTGTCTGCCGCACCTGAATCGATCAGGGCTTTGGTTGTTATAGTGGTTTTATTGACCAAGAGAGAAACCGTAATAAACGGTCTAGAGATGGACATATGAGGGGACAAAGTCATAACACCCGAGGCCGACCCCTCTCTAGGCCTTAGGTGCTGCAGTTTCCCTGTAGTTTAGGGCAGGCTTTACAGTGATGCCCCCTCTTCCCACAATAAAGGCATAACCCCTCCCTTCTACGGTACGCTCTTTCGGCCTCAGTTAACCCTGTAGCACCCAACTGCATGGGTTCAGGGGATGGCTGCACAGGAGCGGGTAACGCTAGCAGGGAAGTACTGGGTAGAGCAGGTAACACCCGTGTATCCAACCGTCTTTGGCTACGCCTCTCTCTAATACGGTTATCTATAAGAATCACATAGTCTATAACATCATCTAGAAGAGCAGGTAATTCCCTGGATGCTATTTCATCCAGTATATAAGCGGCCAGACCCTCCTGAAAGGCTGTTACGAGGGCGTCATTATTTCAAACCACTTCAGCTGCTAGAGTACGAAATTCGATAGTGTAATCTGCTACAGACCTGTTACCCTGTCGGACCCTAAGCAGAGCCTTGCCAGCAGAAGCAACCCTACCGGGTTGATCAAACGTGCGTCTGAAAGCTGTCAGAAAATCAGCAAAGGACATAGGAGACGTATTTTCCCAAATGGGGTTGGCCCATGCTAAAGCTCTCCCGGACAAGTGGTTTATCAAAAAGGCAATTTTAGATCTGTCAGTGGGATAGGAGCGTGGATTCATCACCAAATGGATGTCGATTTGGTTGAGGAAACCACGACACAATGCTGGGTCACCACTGTAGCGCTGTGGCGGCGTCATGTGAACTACATGAGCGGGAACAGGTACTGGAGTGGGAATGGGTTCGGGCACAGCAGCAGCAGCCTCCTGAACGGCCGGTTGCAAGTGTGCAGTACGAGCCAGAATGGTTTGTAAAGCTTGAGCAAACTGATCCATACGGTGGTCTAAGCCATCCATTCTAGCCTCTTGATTAACTAGGAGCTGTGGTATGTCAGCAGGTTCCATTATGGCCCTGTTGTAATGTCACGATTCGGGGAACCCAAAACACGCCAACACACACACACACACAAAAGTGCCGTACCGGACCTTAGAGTGGCCGGGCTAAGCACACAAAGAATAGTCAGGAAACAAGCCGAGTAAGGGGAACCAGAAGACAGAATAACGTGAAACAAGCCGAGGTCAAAGGGTAGGAGAAAGTCACAAAGTCGGATAACAAGCCAGAGAGTACGTAACCAGAAGCACAAGTTCAGAATCAATACTAACAAGCAAAGACCACAACAGGGCAAGGAGGAACAGGAAAGGTAAGTATTTAAACCATCAGGTTAATTCTGATTGGATGATTTCCAATCAGAATTAACAATCACACGTGGGAGATATTTAGACCTCCCACTGTGATTGTGGCACTTTGCCTTTAACGCCGGGTCAGGTGACTGACCCCGGCGTGTATAAACCTGGGCGGTCTCCCAGCGTGCAGCGTCATGCATGCTGCCGCTGGGGGACGTGGAGGGAACGGCGGGCGGCATCCGAGGCTGGAAGGATGCCGCTCGCCGTACCCACGAGGCGGAGGGGACCGCGGACGGCTGGAGGGTGAGTACTGCGAGCGGAGTGCAGCCTCCCCTCGCAGCCGTCCGCGGGAGCCTGACACACAGAGCACGAACAGTATAATATGAAAGGTGCAAGGTTGCATATATAAAACTATTATACACAAAAGGAATATTTAGATTTCTTTTTAATAATATAGTTTTAGATATAGAGAAGTACATATGTACAGATTTCTTAAGTTTGTGGAAGATTTTATGTTTTTTGAGTGGTTAATGACATCATCAAACGTTGTTAGTTCATTAGTTATCTTAGAAAGAACAGTGGAAGCTGCATTTGCATTTTTAAAAAATATAGGACAGGTAATACAGTCCTGGGTACATGTCCTGGATAAAAATACAAGTTGCAGATAAAATTATAAAATTCATAGTAGACAACTGTAGAGTTAAGGTAGGCAAATTAATAGTTTTACATTGTTTAATCAAGAACAAACTTGAAACTTGCATAAGAAATGATGAGCAACCGTTAAACAAATAATGATTTAGGAGTTATTATAAAGCAGTGTGTAACTAGGTTTTAAAATCGGTACTGCACTATATGAAAAAAAAATGTTGCCTAAAAATAAATCAATTTCCTACTTTATGTAGCAAAAATGTGTCTAATTTTTTGATCTGCAGCAGAAACAGAGATCATGAAAAGGTAGATTTTTTTTTTGTTAAGAAAGTAAATTATTTTGTTATTATGACAGGAAACAGGTAGAACAAACTGTAGTTAGTGGTGTTAGTCATTAAAGGGACACCCTACTGCCCAAATACAATATAAATAAAAATCACTGTGAAGTAGATATACCCCAAATCAAAACCTTCATGCATTTAATTATGCATTTATTTCATTAAGATATATCTTAAAACAGCTTGCAAAAGTTTCAGTTCTGCCATTGAAATCACTCCACTTCTAACCTCGCCCAGACTTTCTGTGGCTGTCCAGTCACAGACTTCCCAACTCAGTTCAATGAGAAGTCTTTGCAAGGCATGTGCTCTGAGCTGTTGCTGCCTCATGAATTTAGCTCAATTGAGCTAACCAAACCATGAAGTAACAGGACTTGTTGTTTGCTTGAAAGCCAAGGAGGTGGAGCTATTTCTGAAATAGCTCCAAACAGCTGGGTTAACATTTTTGCAAGTGTATAATCCATTACTAAATATTAATTTGTTTTTAAGATCTGAAAAGCTTTAAAGTAATTTAAGAGTTAGATCAGAATTCAATGGTACAATTTGTTTTGGCAATAGGGGACATACCTGCTGACTTACACCAGCCACTAAGAGAATGGAATAATTTCTGTTGGGTCTTTTAACCCCTTAAGGACACATGGCATGTGTGATATGTCATGATTCCCTTTTATTCCAGAAGTTTGGTCCTTAAGGGGTTAAAGAACTTGACATTTTCAAAATTAAGAAAAGCAAAATAAGGGAGAGATTTATAAAAATATTCCATTGTTTCCATGACAATCTTACGCTTTTAAACATTTCTATTACTTTTCAGAACATGACACATTTTTCCACTTCCATTTCTTTTGTAATTGATTTGTTGTCTGTTGTTATCATTAATAGGGCAGCAGTGCTTTTCAAAGTTGGGATTGGATAATTCCAAAAATTAGGCTTCTGGAAGTTGTGTCATGTTTCTGACTGATGTGACTCCAAATGCATATACGGCTATTGGAACATTTAGTAAATGCTAACAGTGTCCAAGATATAATAGTTGACATTTGTTATGTTCATGTTTGTTAATAAGCAGGTGAATGCAGCTGTGGTAAATGCACTTTCCCAAATGTAGGCATTATGCTGACATATTGTTTAGGGGTCTTACAAAATCACTCCATCTTAAGGAAATGATATTGGGGCATAGATGCTGCCCCTGCAGCCTTGCAAGTGAGATATGGCATGGTTTAAATTTTGCAGTACCAGTACCAACTAGTGTCATTGTTCGATTTAATTATTGTATATATTTGACATCTGGCTTCAGCGTGCAAAGCATGCTAACACTAGACTGTGTGCATTCAATACTTGTCTTTAAGGACACTAGATTCAAGATTTCACAAGGATTTTTTTTTTTTGTGCCATGTGTACTGTAAGGGAAGTGTCTGAATAAAAGTCAAGATAGATAGATAGACAGACCTACTGTTGTGCACCATAGCTCAATAAATCATGTTTCCACAACCATCCCATTCTGAGCTTACATGCAAATGAGCACAGACAGGCATGATGTTTTAGACTTCATCCTTCATTTCAGATTTTTTGTATATTATATATTACTTTTTTAACCCTATCAAATATGAATGACTTTTCTAAATCTGAGAAGAACCAAATCTGTACTCACTGGTGTATAAATTATCATGTGACAACATTCACAAGGCAACAGAAACCTTCCTAATACACTTTAACTGAACAATTTTATTGAAAAAACATGTGCACACTAAGTTACATCTACTATTTACCGTATGCTGCGTATAAACTTTATAGAACTAAAAGACAATAGACACAACAGTAAAATAATAATGATGATAATGATGTTGGTTGGCAAAAACACACAAAGATAGATTGCAACCCTTTTATACCAAGTAACTATTTTGCCCCTTCTATTACCTTAAAGTAACACTACAGAGTCAGGAACACAAACGCACCTTTTTTCCAGCGCAGCACTGGTCTGCCGACACTGGCCCCGCCCCCGATTCTCCTCCTTGGTGACATCATCGGAATTGTAGAATTTTAGCCAATCCAATTCTTTCCTATAGGGAAAGCAGTAGATTGGCTGAAATCATCAAGGAGAAGAAATGCAATTTTAGCCAATCAGCACCTCCTCATAGAGATGTATTGAATCAATGTATCTCTATGAGGAAACTTCAGTGTCCTCATGCAGAGCGTGGAGACACTGAGCAGCAGTGTTGCCTACTTTGCAGCACTGTCCCAGGAAGCACCTCCACTGGCCATATAAGGAGGGGCCACTTGGAGGTGTCCCTAGGGAGCAATGTAAAGCAATGTAAACACTGCCTTTTCTCTTAAAATGCCTGCAGGGAATGATAATACTCACCAGAACAACTACATTAAGCTATAGTTGTTTTGGTGACTATAGTGTCCATTTAATTCTAAGGGAAGTTTCTCTACTTTCATGTGACTAAAATCTGTAGTAGGGTCAATTTAAACTTGAGCATTTAAAAGAGGTAGCTTATAAGCAATAGCCTTTGGCATGAAATACTAACACGTGTTTATGACTTGCAATGAGTGTTTAATGGATAAGAGAGATAAGGTAGGATGCTAAAAAGCACTGGCAGCTGTATTTATCCCTGCTACCATATCAGTAGCAAATTCCATTTTAATATAGGATGTTTCAAACCTGGTTATTTGTTTTTTGGTCATAATAGGGGTAGCTGATTTCGTAGCCTATGTCATACCTGTAGATGTAGTAAAACTGCTGCCCAGTAAATAATGGTGTAGAAAAATAGTTATACCTTCATTTACATTCTGGTGGCATTTTTGGGAAAATGCATCATTAAAAATATTTAAATAGCTTCTAACAATCAGTTTAGAAGAAGAAATATAATAGTAAAGTGGAAAATGCAAAAGAACGAATACAGCTGATGGGAAAGGGAGAAATGAGAAAGTCAGAAAAAAGGAAATGTGAATTTCAGAAGAAAAATATAAGGTGACTTGCAAATACCCATGGGCAGTGTATCTGGCCATTTTAATTTATCTATTTGCATCAACAGCACTATAATTATGTTTCTTCTTCTATACTAATTGTTAGAACCTATTTGAATACTGCAGTATAACAAAATACCATATCATCCCCCAACATTTCTGATAAAGATCAGAAAATGAATATTGCGTACATTTCCATACTTTTCATTTTGTGCATTCCTCTGATTTGCTACGTATGCACAAAATTGTTGTTTTATTATATTATGTGCAAGCTACGCACTGTTTCAACTAAATGTCAATATTTGCAGAAACAAAAGGTTCACAGTAGTGGAAAGGATTATTTTATTATTTTTAAGCTTTGTAACATTTAGGATATGCAAACTTCTTTTTTGCATTGTCACTCCCTGTGCATTTTGCCAGTGCCGTTTATTGATTTCATAATTCCCTTAATTGGTTACTCTTAAGTAATTGTTCCTAATTTTTCCTTAAGAGGTTTTCATGCATACCAACACGGTTTAATACTTAAATACAAAGCAACTGTTTTGACGTATATGCCATCCTAACTTGGTTTATGATTCTAAATAAAATAATCTTTCATACATGCACTTTTGTGCTTAGAGTATAAGTAAATATTATAGCTGTAAATTGATAAAAGGAAACAATCTACATATTTAAATTAACCCCTTAAGGACTGGACTGTGTTTGCGATGTTGTACATTTGCGACCAGGCCTCTTTTTACACTTTTGTGGTGTTTGTGTTTAGCTGTAATTTTTTCCGCTCTCTCATTTACTGTTCCCATACAAATTATATATTGTTTTTTTCAGGACAAAAGGGGCTTTCTTTACATATCATTATTTATATAATATCATGTAATTTAATAAAAAAATAAAAAAATATGATGAACAATTTTAAAAAAATCATGTTTTTTTTACTTTTACTTGAAAAATCTTTTACTCATCTACAAAAGCGAATGAAAAAACTGCTAAATAGATTCAAAATTTTGTCCTGAGTTTAAAAATACCCAGTGTTTACCTTCTTTTTTGCTTTTTTTTGCAAGTTATAGGGCTATAGGTACAAGTAGGATATTGTGGTTTCAAAACATACATTTTAAAAATTTATCAATAGTGACATTGTTACACTATTATCTGTCATAAATCTCTGAATAACACCCCACATGTACATATTTTTTTTAAAGACAACCCAGGGTATTCAATATGGGGTATGTCCAGTCTTTTTTAGTAGCCACTTAGTCAAAAACACTGGCCAAAGTTAGCATTCATATTTGTTTGTGTGTGAAAAAAGTAAAAAACTAAATTGAACGTTAATTTTGGCCAGTGTTTGTGCCTAAGTGACTACTAAAAAAGACTGGACATACCCCATTTGCAATACTTTGGGTTGTCTTCTTTTGCAAATGGTATGCCATCATGGGGGTAATTCTCATTCCTGGGCTACCATATGCTCTCAAAGGCAACGTAACCAACCTGGCCTTTTTTAATGTAAAAATATTTGACCCATATATTTGACCCTGTAACTTTCAAAAACGCTATAAAACCTGTACATAGGGGGTACTGTTATACTCGGGAGACTTTGCTGAACACAAATATTAGTGTTTCAAAACAGGAAAACGTATCACAACAATTATATCATCAGTAAAAGTGCTATTTGTGTGTGAAAAATGCAAATAAAAGTCACTTTCACTGACAATATCATCGCTGTTATATGTTTTAATGTTTTGAATCACTAATATTTGTGTTCAGCGAAGTCTCCCAAGTAAAACAGTATCCCCCATGTACAGGTTTTAGGGTGTCATACAAAGTTACAGGGTAAAATATAGTGCTAGCAAATTAAATTCTCTGGACTTTCGACCTGGGTTGGCAGGCAGGTCCCTCAAATTGCAATCAATAAAATTACTTAATTATGTAAAATATTACATAAATACGCACATAGAATTTAAATATATATGCATATTTATATATTTGAAGTCTACGTGTATATTTATATAATTATTTATGTAATTTTGTATATGGACATATGTATATTTCGTATTATTTTTATTTATTAATATATACATAGATATATATACAATTTCATTCTAAGTGTATTTTGCTATAAATATATATATATATATATATATATATATATATATATATATATTACTATCAAAATACAGTTAGAATAAAATTTCATATAGATATATAATTTTTTTACATTTTTATTATTATTTTACATTTTTTTATTTAATTTAACTTCATTATTTGTATTTTATAATATATATATATATATATATAATATATATAGTTATTATATATATACGTGTGTAATTTAATTATACTTGTATTTTTATATTAATGTTAAAGTACATATTAATATAAAAATACACTTAGTATGACATTATATAAATTTTTTTAATTAACTTTAATTTAATTTTTTTTAATGATTTTACACATGCAGGGAGACTGCCTGTTGAGCAATCACATGGCCCCAGGGGTCCTAATCCGCCGCGGGGAGACTGTCTGGGCACCACCGGGGGAACGACGGCGATCGGGTACGTACATTGGACCATTAGGATGGTTCAGGATCGTCACGGGTCGGCAATGGAAAAATGCGATGACTGTCCTGAACCGTCCTCGGTCCTGAAGGGGTTAATATCCACTATATTTGTATGGAGGAAATAATTTGTTAGCATCTCTAATGTCATTTGACTGTCAAAATTTGGGCCAACATAGATGTATCTGCCGCGGGGAGACTGTCTGGGCTGCAGGCAGTCTCCCCACAACGGGAACACCGCCGATCGCCGCCGGGGGAACGACGGCGATCGGGTAAGTACATTGGACCGTTAGGATGGTTCAGGATCGTCACCAGTCAGCAATGGAAAAATGCCGATAACGGTCCTGAACCGTCCTCGGTCCTGAAGGGGTTAATATCCACTATATTTGAATGGAGGAAATAATTTGTTAACATCTCTAATGTCATTTGACTGTCAAAATTTGGGCCAACATAGATGTATTAGAGATATACATACAGGTACCTGAATTCCATGTATATGGTTTAATTTATTACCATTAAATGTAAAATTACAATATAATAATGGGAAAAAGCTGTATGAGGTTGATAGAAAAAATGTTAGTTAAATTGGTTGATAGATAGATCACTGATAATGTGTTAAAGTTAAAACCTGTTAATTTATAAAGATGAAAGTTTTTAGACATGTGCATTCATTTTTGTACGAATACGATTTTGTTCGAAAATTAGATTTTTTTCGTATTTGTTTACTAAAACGTAAACGAAAGCCCTACATACGAAATCTAAGTGAAACGAAAGGGCAAGTTCCGAATGCATTACCTTTTTGTTTCGTTCATTTAATAGACTCCGTGCTGCAGGGAAATTAACCCCCACAGCACGGAGAAAATAGCACTGCGCATGCGCAGGAAAAAAAAGCAAGAAGGGAGCTGGCAGCGCTACCAGCTCCCTCCTTGTAATAAATATTAATTCCAACCCCCCTCAACCCCGCATTAAAACCTGTGGGGGTCACTATGACATAATGTCCCCCTGGTCCCCACCCATGAGCGATGGTTGGGGTCCCTAATTAAAGGGGGGACCTAATGTCCACACTGGTCCCCACCAATAAGCGGCGGGTGGGGACCCTAAATAAATAAATAATGGGGGGACCTAAAGTCCCCCCCAGGTTTCAACCCATGAGCGGTGGGTAAGGCTCCTAATTAATTAAAGAGGGGACGTAATGTTCCTCATTGTCCCCACACATGAGCAGCGGATGGGAACCCTAAATAAATAAATAATGGGGGGACCTAATGTCCCCCCCAGGTCCCCACCCATGAGCGGTGGGTGGGGAGCCTAATTAATTAGAGGGGGGACCTAGTGTCCCCAACTGGTCCCCATCCATGAGCGGTGAATGGGGACCCTAATTAGTTAAAGCAGGGACCTAATGTCCACGCTGGTCCCCACCCATGAGAGGCAGGTGAGGACCCTAAATAAATAAATAAGTAGGGCGGGACTTAATGTCCCCCCCAGGTCCCCACCCATGAGCTGTGGGTGAGACCACAAATAATAAAGTGACTAGGGGTCTCCAAGCCCCTAGTCACTCCCCCCCCAATAAAAGAGTGCTCTGACAGGTAAGTGAAGAGACTGACAGGTAAGTCTTTAAAAACCTGTCACAGCACTCTGATTGAATTTTTCCATGCTGTGTAAATTGACATCACACTGATTGGTATCAGTTTTAAAAGACAGCGAGACAAATAAACAAATGGTTTACGGACCAAATTTGGGATTGACAAATAAAATTGGTATTTAGTACAAAACCATTTGTACAAAATTAAAATTTCACTGGTGCACATGTCTAATAATTTTATTACTGTTAATATAACTCGAGTATTAAAAAAAAATGTAGGGAGAGTGTACTATCTGTGTTGATACTTGATCACAGATATTCAGCAAGTTTTCTATTCATGTACTTTATTTATTGTAAATCCTTAGGGTATAAAAGTTGTATAATTGAGTGAAATACCCTGTTATTGAATATAAATTGACTAAAAGGGACACTAAAGGATCCAGATCACTTAATCTTAATATAATGGTCTGGGTGCAGTTCTTCTGTCATTTTATGCCTGCCATCTAAAACCTTGCCATGTAGTAGATAAAACAATTTTGATTGAAGGCTTAAACAAGCCTCTAATGGCTGTCTACCTGATAGCTACTAGAGGAGCTTCTGAACTCATGTTTGACCTGCATGAGGACGTTGAACATCATCAAATGCTATTCATAAAGAAGCATTGGATTCAATGCATCCCTATATGTGGCATAGTCAATGGGTAAGGCATCATAGACACAGTAAAAGGGGAAGGAGACACAACTAGAAAAGCAGGATGAAAGGGGAGAGGTAAGAGATTCAAGCGTGCATAAGATACACAAGGTGGTATAACACATAAAGGGGGGGGAAGATGCTGGTGGTATAAGACACAAGAGAAGGGAAAGAAAGGGGGATGACCCACAAGGAGGTAGATGACACATTAGGAGGGCTTTAGATATGAGGGGGAATAAGAGACACAAGAGTAGGTTATGAGACACAATAGTAGGGTAGAAGACACAAGAGGGGCATAGAAGATACAAAAGGGGGTCATAATAGACTATTCGGGGGGATGCCAACATACATTTGCTCCAGGTGCCAAGTAACCTAAGTACGGCTCTGCTCCCAATGAGAAGCATTTGATTGGACAAGAGTGGCACTCATTGTGCATGTGCTTTTCCTTCACACTGAT